CTTTCCCTCCTACTCTCTGGCATTCTTTGGCGAATTGAAAACAAAAAGAAAAAAAATTATGGCCAGCTCAATGGTATGGCAGTATTGTACTGTTCAAGTGGCTCAAGTGAAGCTGGAGCCCAAGAGTTGATGGCTAGCGTTGATGGATTGTGGTGTGGCTAAACCCTGTGGAGGGTGTGCCCCCTCTCTCTCTTGCCCAGTCTCATTTGTGCTCGCATGTATCTGTCCTATTGTGAGTAAAAAGAAAAAAAAATCGTATTAATTCCTACTAAACTTCCCTTTCAATTCAACATCACAGGATTTTTACTTCTTCTATTTGTATTTTCTTTCTCAAACAGGAAATATTGGCCCAAATATTATTTTACTTATTTGCTTTACCCCACTGTATATGATAATTCCAGAATAGCAATACTATTACTATGATCAGAGTTACTGCAAACAATGTAAGGTTTCTTCATAGCACTTTTTGCCCTTAGGATATAGTCTACTCTACTAGACGTGTACAGATTGTTGATTTATAAAGTCACTTTAAATGACACTTTTCTGTTTGGTTAAGTCCCCAATTTGACATACAGTTCTTTTGTTTCATTGCATTTCCAATTTTTAGAAATTTTTTTTATTTGGATTTATTTGGAGTTTTATAATTATACCATTCTATAGTCAATTGTATAAGCACATGTAGAGGAATCTAGTTTCTTTTCTTTTTCTTTTTTGTTTTGTTTTAGACAAGGACTTGCTATGTCATGATCCCCCAGCCTCAGCCTCTGCCTCCTGAGTAGCTGGGACTATAGGTGCACACCACCATTCCTGACTGTAGAGTGGGCAGGGAATCCAGCCTGGACCTCCCACAGAGCTTCAGTCTGCTAAGTTAGTGCACCCATCAGTACACGTTACTAAGGCTGGGCTGAGAAACCAAGTTTCTATTCCTGTACCCTCCTGCCTTGACTGGTGAGCCATTTTTATGGTTTTTTCTTTCTTTCTTCTTCTTTTTTTTTTTTTTTAATTTGTTACAGGGTGTATGCACTCACCAAAGACAGAGAGAGGGAAAGTGAAAAAGTACCCTCTAGGGGGAATGGTCAAGCTACAATCCCTTCTCCTCCATTCTCTTCTCAGGATTTTGGGCACATATGCACACACACACTGGTATCTTTTTCAAGCCGCTGGATCCGGGACTCAGACTGCACTCTTGGCCATGTGTTTAACCACCGTACGACCAGCAGGCCCTATGTTACCCCCCCCATGTTACCTTTTAATGTAAGAAAATATGCATGCATATTTTTATTGCCCCTAGTCCTGCCTAAATAAAATACTATACTGTTCTGCATCTTGATTCTACACCCCAGGAGTACATTCAGCTGCACTCCATGTGTGAGCTGCACCATGGCTTCTGCAACCAGTTCTCTATTAGTGGACAGTAGACAGTTTTCAGTCTTTCAGTATTTCCCCCTTCTTTAGTAGAAAATACAGAAATCATTAACATGGGCATTCCAGAGAAGCGAAGCTGATAAGAAACAACATAATTTGGGTAGGCTGAAAGAAGTATAATCTATCTTAGAAAAACTACTATCGGCTGATTTGGTGATGCAGTTCTTTCCTCAAGCCCAGAATTCTGAGAAGAAAAAAGGTCTGGCACCGCTAACGGGAGATAGGGAGATAGATGCATGTGGAGGTGATGCACTTTCTGCAAGGCTTCTTGGCTCTCTGATGGCGTACCATCCCGGAACAGAACCAAAGGACTTCTCAGCCTCACTGTGGCATCAGAAGGCAGTAACCCTGCAAGCCACATACAAGCAGGTTGCTGAAAGGCTCTATGGGCAGGGGACATGTCCCATTCACTGGTGAGCCCAGGTCCTGGTACAGAGTTCACTAGTGAAAGGGTTGCTCCCTCTCCTCAAACCCCAATGTCTCCATTGCAAACAGGACCCACAGAGACTAGGCCACATAACAGGAGAAGCTAGTTAAAGGCTTAATAGCAAGAGGCTGGGCCAGCAGGTGGCATGGTGGTTAAAGCGCTAGACTCCCACGTGATCAACTGCAGCTCAAGTACAAGACCCAGGAGCTTGACAATCATGCCAGGAGTGTGTGCCCAAAACCTAGAGAGGAGCCTGGAGAAGGGATTGCATCATGGCCCACCCCCCTTAACCACTGTGGGATGATTTCTCACTTTCCCTCTCTCTGTTGCTTTCTGGCAAACACACACAACCTATGGCAACATCCTTAAAAAAAAAAAAAAAAAAAAAGAGGCTGCTGACCTTGCAAGAGTAATGGGGACTGTTGAGAAGATAGTCAGAGAAGTTAGAATTCAGCCCCCCCAATTTATTACATTGTGCCAATCTTCCTTTTAAAAAATACATTGGGACCAGCAGATGGCGCTGGACTCCCATGTAGGGGTTTGAGTCCCAAACCGGCAACTTAAAACCTCCACCAGGTGCCTGTGTGTGTGCTTAATATTCCCAGAGGAGAATGAAGGAGAAGGGATTGTGATGTGACCATCCCCCCCAGCGGTGATTTCTCACTTTCAGTCTCTCTGTCTCTCCAGAGAGTGCATACTCCCTATAGCAAAAATCTCTCTAAGGAACCAGCAGTTAGCGTAATGGCTATGTCACTGGACTCCCACATAGTCGATCACGGTTCGAGTCCTGGACTTGGTGGCTTAAACTCACGCCGGGTGCGTGTGCGTGTGCCCAAAATCCCGAGAGGAGAATGGAGGAGAAGGGATTGCTACGTGGCCATCCCCCGGGGGGTGATTTCTCGCTTTCTGTCTCTCTGTCTCTCTCTCTGTCCGGCGTGCGCACGAGCCCTATAGCAAAAACCTCTCAAAAAAAAAAAAACTCTAAAAATTAAATAACATTTTAAAAATTGATAAAATAAGTGTATTTTCAAATTTTATTTATTTATTATTAATTTTAAATTTTACATGAAGTCCCCATCATGATGTATATATTTTTTCCAAGAGAGATTTTACATTTCCCGCCTCTGTCTACCTCCCCCCCTTTTTTTTTTTAAATTCGCTATAGGGCTTGCGCTCTGGCCGGACACAGAGAGACAGGAAGACCGCCACGTTGCAATCCCTTCTTTTCTATTTTCCTCTCGGGTTTTGGGCGCGCGCGCACACACACACACACACACACACACACACACACCCCTGGTGTGATTGTTCAGGATCCAACCTCGAATACAGTTAGGTGAGATTCAGCCAGTTTAACCTTCGCGCCACCTGCTGGCCCCCCAGTGTCCCATTTTTTAAAGAAACGTGGCTAATCCCGATTTTTATGTAAACTCTCCTTTTTATTTTGTTTTAAATTTGCAATTAATCCAAACCGGCTTTGGCCAAATCTTCATGCACCTAAATCGAGTCTCTGGGCTACGAAGCGGTAACTCCTCCGGGGCAGCCAACTCCGTCACTTTCCGGGCTCGGTTCAGGCAGGCCCTGGCTGCTTGGGACCCAAGCAACACCTCCGCCTCGCGGTCTGTGCCCTCGGACCCTTGCCCTACGCCCGGGAGCCCGAGACCACCACGCTCCAGCCTGGAGGGCGTGCCCGGGCTCGGCCGCCTACTCCGCGCCTGTGCCCGAGGCGGTGCAGTTGGACTGAGCCACCGATCGGAGCCGGGAGCCGAGATGGAGCCTTCCGTTGCCATGGAGTTGCCCGCGCCAAACCAGAGCGGCAACAACCGCCGCTGAGTCACCACAGCCTGGGGACTGCTGCAGCAACCACTGAGGAGCCATTGTCCAGGGACCCCCGCCGCTCAGGGCCGGCTGCCGAGGGACCGAGACTCAGGAGCCCGCGCCACTCCGACCCAGGCCCGCGGAGAGGTGGGTGAGGCGGGCGCAGCCCAGGGTTTGACACGTTTGTCCCGGAGTCTGCCGCTGCGGTCGGTTGTTCTGATGGCTCCAGCAGAACTCCGGCACTGGTAAAAATGCTTTACCTGAACTTCTGCCGGAGAAATAACGGTCGATGCAGTTCTCGGCCTCGGCTGGTTTCAGGGAACCTCAGGACAAGAGACAGCTTCAGTCGCGGGTTTCGCTCCTGACTTTGCAGCAGACGCTGTGAGGTTCTAACGCACGTCTGAACGCGCCCAGCGAAACTGAGGGGGAAGGCTGGCTGGGCCAAAGTCTGGCCCTCGGGTGTCTGAGAAGACGAAAGGCAGAGTATGGTTCATAAGCCCCGGGTCATTCCAATGTGCTTTAATATGTTTTAACCTGTTTTGGAAGTCGTTAGCCTCTATCGTTTTGTTTTTTTCATAAATGCTCCTTTTATCTTCATAAATTTATTTATTTAGCAAAACAATCCTTAACTAAACTTCAACTATGAGCCATATACTGAACTAGGTGATGTGCAAGCCTGGCCCAGTACCCATAGTTCAAATGAATTTGTTCATGAATATTCTTTGCATACAGATGGTGCCTGGATTCACCTGTGCAATTTTTTGAGAGATTTTTGCAGGACCAGCAGATGGCGAAATAGTTACATCGCTGGACTCTCACGGAGTCAACCATGGTTTGAGTCCCAGACAGGCAGCTTAAATTTACTCTGGGCAGGTGTGCATGCCCAAAATCCTGAGAGGAGAAAGGAGGAGAAGGGATTATAGCATAGCCATCCCCCCTGGGGGTGGGAGTTCTCGCTCTCTGTCTCTCCAACAAGCACACACACCCTATAGCAAAAATCTCTTTTCAAAAACCAAGAAACAGAAATCTTCATGTTCTGCCTGTTACTAGTCTAATTACCATTGTTTGTCCTCCTAATTAAAAAGAGACATTTTTCCTGTAGGGCACTTGCATTTGCTGGAGAGACAGAGAGACAGCAAGAAATCACCCCCCAGGGGGGATGGCCACATTGCTTTATAAAGAACCCTTAAATTGCACATAATAATAATCAATAAAATAAAATAATGCTTTAAAGGGACCACGGTTTGAGCCCCAGACCAGCGGCTTAAACCCACTCTGGGTGTGTGTACCCAAAATCCTGAGGGCTTAATGGTTACACAGTGATTAAGGCAGCTGACTTCAGCTGGACTGACTCTGGTTGGAGTTCCCCATCTGGCCAGCTGGGGCAGCTGGCCCCAGTTTCACCTATGTTTAAATGTTATGTAAACTGGGGGCCAGCAGTGGTTAGGGCACTAGACACTCCCACACCGCCAACAGCAGTTCAGGTCCTGGATATGGTGGCTAGCTTTCTCACTTTCCCTCTCTGTGTGTCTCTCTCTGGTCCAATTAAGATAAATGAATGAATAAATAAAATAAAATAAAAATTATTTTTAAAAAATTATTAAAATGTATGTAAATTGAATAATAATGTACATGTTCTTTAAAAATTTTTTGCAGAGATTTTTGCTATAGGGCACATGCACTTGCCAGAGAGACAGAGTCAGAGAGACAAGGTGAGAAATCACCCCCAAGGGGAGATGGCCACGCCTCAATCCCATCTCCTCCATTCTCCTTGGAGGGATTTTGAGCATGCACGCATACATGCCCGGTGTGAGTTTTATTTATTTATTTATATATATATATATATATTTTGAGAGGTTTTCACTATAGGGCGCGTGCGCTCGCCAGACAGACAGAGAGACATAGAGACAGAAAGCGAGAAATCACCCCCCAGGGGGGATGGTCACGCCGCAATCCCTTCTCCTCCATTCTCCCTTCAGGATCCTGGGCACGCACACACACGCGCCCGGCGTGAGTTCTAAGCCACCGGGTCCGGGACGCGAACCGTGGTCGACTACATGGGAATCCAGTGACGTAGCCATTACGCTACGTTCCCTATTTATTTATATGTTTTTGGAGAGGTTTTCGCTATAGGGTGTGTGCGCTCGCCAGAAAGACAGAGAGAGATAGAGAGATAGAAAGCAAGAAATCACCACCATCCCCCCCCCAGAGGGGATGGCCACGCCACCATCCCTTCTCCTCCATTCTCCTCTCGGGATCTTGGGCACGCACACACGCACCTGGAGTGAGTTTAAGCCGCCAGGTCCAGGACTTGAACCGCGATCAACGACATGGGAGTCCAACGACATAGCCATTACACTAACAGCTGGTCCCCCGGTGTGAGTTTTAAGTCACTGGGTCCAGGACTCAAAAGGAGGTCAACTATGTGAGAGTCCAGCAACGTAAACTTTATGCCATGTGCTGGTCCCATATTCTTTACATTTTTTGAGAAAAATACCAAGCTTTACATAAAAGTTGCAAGTTCACAGAAAACAATCTTTCCCTGAAGCATTTGAGAGTAAGTTTTCTACATGACACTCTTATCCCCAGATACTTGATAGTGTATTTCCTACAAACAAGGACGCTGCAACGTAGCCGCAGCCTGAGCACAAGTCAGAATGTGATAAGGGCACTTCCCCATGTCTGTCCTCAGCCCTTGCAAGCCTGTTTGCCAGTTGATTCAATACAGAGAGCAAAAGGATCTAGCCCAGGATCACGCTTTGCCCTGAGTGGTCACTATGCCTCTTTGGTCTCCTGTAGTCTGGAACATTTCCTTTCTGTTCACGACCCTGATACTTTTCCTTTCTTTTAAGAGTTGTTCGCCTTAGGGCACATGTGTGCCCAAGAGAGAGACAGACAGACATAGTAAGCAAGAAAGTGAGAAATCCCTCCCCAGGGAGATGGCCATGCCACAATCCCTCCTCTATTCTCCCAGGATCTTGGGCACACGCACCTATGTGCCCAGTGTGATTTTCAAGCCACTGGATCTGGAATTCAAACCTCAGTCGGATTCTGACACTTTTGAATATATTTTCCAATTATTTTGTGGAAAGTCCCCCTGTTTGGTTTTGTCACTGTTTCCTCACGATTAGGTCTTCCTATGTGAATTTATCCGGAAGGTCATGGAAGCAACACACTCTGTCTGTTTGTTCTGTCCTGTCAGGTAGCTCACAGTGGTCACTTTGTCGCATTCGTGATGAAGCTCAGTTTCCCCACTTGATTACTGCAATATTAGCCGGCATCCCCTCCTTAGTAATTAAGAACTGTTTTGTTGGGAGGCACTCTGAAGCTGCGGAAATGTGTCCCCCCTCCCAGGCTTGAGCTGGGTGGCTCTCACAGTGGACACGTATCTCACCTCACTTGGGCTCTGACGCCTTGTCCTGGAGCACCTACGTGGGGCACCCCTTCCCTCTCAGGCTCTGACATCCAGCTCGGGACCGCTGCACCTTCGGCTACCTCTGCCCACCCAGAGGACCCCGCCTGAGTGTGAAGGAGAGGGGAAGAGGAAGACAGTGCGTGCCTTTGTGTCTTGCTGCTTCCCTGTCGGCTAAGAGGCTCGCCCCCATCATTGCATGTAGCTGTACCTTGGGGCCGGCAAGTGGCCTGGTGCTTAAAGGCGCGCCCAGTGTGAATGGCTGACCACGGTTCAAGTTTTGGACCTGGTGGCTTGCTTTCTCACTTTCTCTCTCGCTCTCTCACTCTCTCTCTCTCTGTCTCTCTGATCAAACTGGAAAATAATAATGATAATAATAATAAAGTTAAATAAAATAATTCTTTTAAAAATACTTTCATGGTTCTTTTCTTCTCTTTTTATTTTTTTTTTGGAGAGATTTTCTCTATAGGGCGTGTGTGCTTGCCAGACAGACAGAGAGAGACATAGAGACAGAAAGTGAGAAATCACCCCCCAGGGGGGATGGCCACACAGCAATCCCTTCTCCTCCATTCTCCTCTTGGGATCTCGGGCACGCACACACATGCACCTGGCATGAGTTCCAAGCCACCGGGTCCAGGATGCAAACCGCAGTCGACTACGTGAGAGTCCAGCAACATAGCCATTACACTAACTGCTGGTTCCCCTTCTCTTTTTTGAGAATTGTTTTGTTTTGTTTTGTTTTGCTATAAGGTGTATGTGCTCGCTGGAGAGACGGAGAGACTAAAAGCGAGAAATCACCACCTGGAGGAGATGACCAATCCCTTCCTCCACTCTCTCCTGGCGTGCACGCACATGCATGCAGTGTGTTTCAAGTCATTGTGTCCGGGACTCAAGCAGTGGTCAGCCATGTGGGAATCCAGAGCCTTAACCACTATGCCACCTGCGGGCCCCTATAGTTGTTTTCTTAAATAAGCTCCAACCAAGATGCCCGCATTGCATGTGGTTGGCTTGTCTCTTAAGGTCTGTTTAATTTAAAAGAGTCCTTCCTTCCCTTTGAACCCCCATGACATTTATTTGTTAAAGAAACTGGGTCATTTGTTCCATTTATTTTTATGTAGGTCTCTAATGTCACCCAGTGGGGTTTCATTATTTTCTCTTTAGAGGTCTTGCACATCTTTTGTCGTACTTCTTCTTAAGTACTTAAGAGCTTTTTTATATACAAACGATAACTTTTTCCAAATCTTTTATTCTAATAACTAGAAATAGACTTGATTTTTGTTATTAAAGTTATATCTGGCAACATTGCTAAGTCATCTCCATAACTTTAGTAGTTCATATATCTGTTTGGATTTTTCTACGTATACTGATAATCATATTATCTGAAAATAATGACTATCTTCCCCTTTCATTCTTTATGCTTTTATTTCTTTTACTTTGTTCTTATTGGGGGAATCTAGTGAATACTGAGCAGCGGTTTTATATAACATCCTTGTTTCGTCCTCGGTCTTAAATGAATGCTTTGAATGTTTATGGTTAAGTACGATGTTTGCTACAAATTATTTTGGGTGTATATATCCTCTATAACATTAAAGAAGTTCATTTCTAATGCGTTTGCTCCATTTTTAATAAAGTATAAATGGGGTGTTGGATTTCATTAATGCTTTTTTTCTGTATTTATTGAGATGATCATATAATTTTCCTCCTTTGATCTGTTCATGTGGTAGATTAAACTGAT